GTAATGATTTATTTAATCTTGAGCTTTGTGTAATTGTGATTTTGCTCACTTAATATACCACTGCACAATACCAAAATATGTTGGACCTCTTGACCATAGATTATGAGAGTCCAATTATCTTTAATTAAGGTGGGAAACAGTAATGTCAGTACTCCATGGTGTATTTAGGCTTAATTGTAGGATAATTTGTTCCTTGAACTTCTGATGACCACGGATTTTATAGGTGTTTCTTTTATTTGAATCTTAGCACATAATATGAATAATCTTGGATGCTGACATACATACTCTTTGACATAGATATTGAGATATTAAGATAAGTTAGGAAAATTATTGCAGTTCGGTGAAAAGTATCCTCTTTTTAATTTACTATTACACTAAAGAAGAATTGGAGTTAATTATATTGAACTAGCAAAATATCTCTGAAAATTAGAGAAAACCTGAATTTTGTTGAATTTGTATTAAATGGTAAAACTTTATTTTTTTAAATAGAGATTCGTTAACTATAGATTTTAAATCACTTGAATCCATATATATATATATACAAGAATGGGTATATATGTACGATGGTACTGATAAGTATACAGGAAATAGTACACAATTTCTATTTGGAGATGTCACGAAATTCAATTGCGTTAAAGCCTTGGGTTTTAATGTAGATGGACATTATCACCTCAATGTTAAAATATTCCTTACAATTTTAAAACATTTCATCTCCTAAGCTGTACAATTTATCTGTAGCGATTTAACTTTGTTTTTTGGTCGTTGCTGTTGTGAATTTCTCGTTGCTAGGTCATGTAGTGATCCAAAAAGGTAATTACATAGATATAAGGTCTTCTAAGTAAGTGTTATTAGAATTTATGTTTCATTTGGAGACAGGAAATTGTATAAAAAGAAGTTACACATAAAGCTATATGCATCGAGATCTCTTTTAGATGTTATTCTCGTATTTGAGATGAAGAGCTACGAAGAAGAATGAAAATTTTGAGAGAATATTGGAAAAACTATAGCAACACCAAAATTATTGGGGTTCTAATTTTCTCATACTTTGTCTATCCACCCTCATCAAATCTTGGCTGCAGTAAAATACGAAATATACCAGAACTCTTTTTAATAGCGGTAGCATGTTTTTAATTGCATCAAAAGTTTTACGCGTTTCTTTTTCTTTTCGCATTGTTCCTCTTATGTATATTTCCTAATTGAGAAATTTACAAATGAGTCTTGAAACATGGGTATCCTTCAATATTTTCTAAGGTTAAGATGCGTAAATCAGATGGGTGAGTGTTTCAAGATGTATCAATTCAAATGTATATACAAATATATTTCCAGTAGGTTAAAAAAGATCCAAAGATAAAATAACAATTTTCGTCAATAGAATGGGAACATATAAAAACTCATCATATAGTAAATTCTTCAATTATGGGCTATAAACACCTTCAATCATTTTATGTTCAACTTAATACTATCAAAAAATCATTAACAACAGCGGTATTCAAAAATAGAATAGAATTAATATATATATATATACTCATATATATAAACAGAAAGGAAAAAACAAACATTAATATACAATTACAATGAAATTTTCTACATTATTTGCTTCATCTTTGGTTTTAGGTACAGTTATTGCAGACTTACCATCAGCATATGTAGAAACTACACCATATTCAGTCTTCACCACCTCTATGTTAGCTAATGGCAATTCAATGATCGGTGTCATTGAGTATTACCGTTCTGTTACATATATTAGCAATTGTGATTCTACAAGTAAAACAGAAGGTGTAGTAACTGTCACTTTAGCCTAATTGGTTAATTTTTAATGTTCGTAAATATATAGGTTTTTAATAAAGGTAAAAAATAAAAAGTATATAATATTTTAATAAATGCAGGCTCAGTAATTAACACTTTTGTTGTTTATATTAAGTAAAAGATATTCAGTTCAGTCGCGAAAACTATAGTGCTGTCAGGTGTTTTGAAGAATAGTTTTCTTTATTTAACGTTAAATAACCAAAAAATCAAAAAATGATTTCGCCCAGGATCGAACTGGGGACGTTCTGCGTGTTAAGCAGATGCCATAACCAACTAGACCACGAAACCACACTCTGTTAGGTTTTGAAAAAAATACGTTGCTTTTGGTTAACATATTATATTCTAATTTTTGTATTGTTTGATCCGGAATATTGAATATCAATGTATTAAGTATTTATCTAGGGAAACAAGCCGTAGAAGTAAATACTTAAGGTTACTAGTTATAAGCTCTATGAGGTTAATTAACTATTATAATAACTATACAGTAGTATTAAATATATAAGGATTTCTATGGTCTTCTGTTTAATAACAAAAGTGTATATCTTTACTTCAGGAACTATGCCCTTTATATACGTCATGTCAGTTATCTATTAGCGTCATTCCTTTTAACAATCATGACAGATCCTCTTTCCTTATTCCTGTCATCTTGTACTAACGTGGAATCAATACATTTTGACTTCAAAGTCAATTTATTCACAATGTCTGTACATGTATTCGTCGAAAATATGTAAAATATTATAACAGTCCTGGATTTTTACCTTTTGGGAACAAATAATAAAATAAAAGTGGTGAAAAAATTACAGAATCTTGAATCCAAGTTTTGTGTTAGCATTGGAGCCCTGAGACTCAAGAAAATGATATAATTATATATATTAGTAAAGGTGTTCATTTGTATTTCTTCTGCTAATGAAATTTTTTAATATTTATTTAAAGTTTTTATTAATGGAAACGTTATGTAGGGGTATGATTCACTTAGTTAAATTTTGTTTGGAGAAGAAAATATAAATTTTTATGCTATCAAAACAACTTTAAAAACAAAAAAAACATTACTAAGGAAAAGACAAAATATTTTAACGAAGAATACAAATTACAACGAATAATAATCATCAATTTTTCAAGTAGGAGAATAATATATCTTTTCATAAATGGCAGTTAGATAAAACTTCAAATCTATCGACCTAACTATAAAATACAAGCCAATTATCCCTACCAAAAACTAATTTTAATTTCTACATTTGATTTAGCCAGTTAAGAAGTCCATAATGCTTTTAATGACGTTGTCAATGCCATTTTAAATGAAATCATGCTGAAATCGGAAGTGTCCCACGCTTTCAAATATTATATGTGCAAGATAATAACCAGTCAAGAAAACTAGATAATAACGAGTCAGGAAAACAAGATAATAACAATTGAACGTTAAATGCAACCTTCCCTTTCAACATCAAAGCCTCTGTGTAACTTAAGCGGTTCATTATCTGGTAAAAAACTTTAATGCTTAATAAAACCTGCTTTCAGTAAAGATAGTTTAATTAAATTTATAATGATATTCGAAATACTACTAAATCCACCCGCATGCTGATCTTCATTGGTTAAAATTAAGGATTGGCTGCTTTATACTCGAATGATTTAAGATGAATTGAGAGAATTCACGGTAGAAACCAACAATTGATACAAACTTATCATAAAAATCAGCATCAACTTATGTGATCCTGACTGGGATGAGTGGCATCGCCTGTATGATCAGTTAATCATAATACTTTTTTTCTTAGTTAAATTCTGATATTGGTATATATCCAACGTTTTACAAAATGAAATTCGGCTCGAAAATTGTTGCAAGATTTATTATATAAAAAGGAGGCATCATATCTAATCTTAAGTTTTATATAAAGTCATGTTTCTTCCATTGTGTATTTATGTAGTAAGGCAAGAGTTAAGTAATTAGATTATATTCATAATGGTTAGAGAATTGGTTAATTTCAACGAAGAATGCACTTGTGCATCATGTCAAAACGGTTGTTCATGCGGTACAGCTGAAGCTTCTGCTTGTAAATGTGGTGAAACTTGTGCCTGCGCTAAGAAACAATCATGTTGTTGCGAAGGTAAGCAAGCATGTTCATGTGCAGCAGGATCCAAATGTTGTGGATCTTGTGGATCTGGCAAGGGTTGTTCCTGCAAGCAATAAATTTCATAGGGTTAGCAAAAGAGAGATCTAACGAAAAGTACGAATCCACCTTTTTATCCTTCCATGTTAATAAAATAAACCGATATATAGTAGTACGCTTAGTTTACAATGAAACAACACCATATTTGTTAATTGGCTTTCATTTAAATTAATATATATTATGTCATTATCTAGAATACAAACAAATAAACCACTAGTTTTTTTTTTCATTGTTGTATGAGAGAGTTTTGTAGATAATATTTTTTCATAGCGTTGTATTGTGTTCTCTTCAACCACCAGATGCAATATATATATATATCATTCCACCCCAATAAAGAGACATACACATACACACATTATTACAATTTCAAGCAATTGCAAGCAATTGCTCCCAAGATCAGAGCAGTTCCACAACGTTGTGTGACCAACTTTGAAGATTTGTCCCAATTTGTCCCAATTAATTACGAAAACCCCAAAACCAAGACACCCCAATTTGTCCGGACATGATTTGTCCCAAAAAAATGAAAATTTTTTTTTCGAATTTCGTCACTCTTTTCTTTTTATTCCTCTGCTTGGAACCAAAAATTCGATTTGTTTTTTCTGTCTTAGCCAATAACATTTCCCATTTCGGCATCATCAGTTCGAATCCTAACCTGTTCCGGTAATTTCAAGACGATATTTTACTTAATCGGGCTAAATGGAAAAATGATTTTTCATTTTTCGAAAAATTTAAATTTCTTTTTTCCCAAATTTCGAAAAAATTCGTGTCTCATCGCTGCTCAGCTTCTAATTTTTTGGCAAGCACTATAGTTAAATATATTTAATAGTAGAGCAAGACTTGAACTGATATGCCTGATTCGAATATATTAAATTTCTAATGGATGAGGTACAATACAATTAAGAATAAGCTTACTGTTCAAGGAGGGATTGGAAGATCTAGAGTACTTAACTGGATTGGATTGGATTGGATTGGATTGAATTGGTTTTGTTTTGTTCTGATTGTGAAGAAAAGGTATTGATTGGAATTGGCTTCAGCGATAAAAAACAAGCAACAACAATACAAAATTAAAGACACGAGAAACAAGGTAAATAACGATAACAATACCATTAATTTTTAACGTTAGAATTACTTTGAATTAAATTGTATTATTTAGTAGTAATCGGCGCTAGTTATTAAATATATCATCATACTATATAAAATGGATTTCCAAAATGAATTTTATTTAGCTGATGCAATGGAATTGTTGAGACCACAACGTCTAGATAACAATGTTTTTTTTGGTCCATTGAACACTTTAACTCAAGTTGAATTTCTTCGAGAAAATAACATTAGATTTTTCATTGGTATTGGAGTTTCAACTGAAAGATTAGCTAAAATTTGTAATGAAAATGCAATGTTGCGCGGTTCAATGAATGAGGTAATAATGATAAATTTTGATTCTGGGGTTGTTGCAGGTCAACGTTGTAATTCCTTTGATTCCGAATCAATCACTACAGATTTTCAAAGATTTAATACAAGCCAATTACAGAATTTAATCTCTTATTTAGTCAATGATAAACGTTCGTCGTCTTCTCACTCGTCTGGCAATCCTAATGATGATAGATGTTTGACTCCACTACCTGAACAATCAGATATTTCAAATTTGTTATATGGTGATATTTCTCATTATTATGGCTCAAGTGTATTTAGTGATGTCAACGTTGAAAAATTTAAAGCTTTCAATGATTTAATAACGCTATTTAAGGCTTATGACCCTACGAACAAAGTGCTTGTATTCTCAAATGATGGTAATGATGAAGATTTAGTAACGTTGTTAGTATCTTCGGTATTAAAGGCTAACCCATCCACCAAAATTTTTGAAGCTTTACAATATGTGAAATCTTTAAGAGCTGCTTTATCAAATATTAAGGATGAAAAAATCATTTGGTGTAGTGGTTTACTAAACTATTATGAATGTGTAAGAGCTAATGAATTAAATTGGGGTAGAGTTGGTGATCAAAGGAAAACCTTAATTGATTTCCAAAACAATCATCAATCAAAGAACAGAAAAAGAGATGAATCAACTATGAAATCTATCGAACCTGTATTAGCTTTAGGTACTCATAAAATCTTAGTTGGTGGAAATAGTAAAAGATCTCGTTGCGATTAATATTTCACCATAATATCACATATTACAAAATAAAATTTACAAGTTTAATTTTTATTTTCAATTCATTTTCAAATTATTCCACCTTAATATAACAATACTTGCTAATTCCAATAAGTGAGAAATTCTGAAAGAATTATCAGGTCAAAGGAAAAGAATGAATTAGAGAATATAATTTATCGTTATTATTTTTTTTTCTCCCACATTACTTCGTTTTAATGCTCTATTTAAATTGGTTATTCATCGTTCCTCTTTATCAAAATTATCATTGTATCATTAACTAATCCATCTTTTGTACTATATAACTGATAACTATCTATTAGCTATATTTAGTCCAACCATTATCTCCAACTCTCTATTTATGTTTATCTACTGCACTCATTTATAAATTTATATTTATCGAGAATAAAAATTTCTATATTTATTTATTTGATTTGTATTTTTCTCCACGCTACAAACTAATGTCACCTATAGTACAATTTATTTATATATATATGTGTGTGTTATTATCCTATTAAACTACCGCTTCAGTTTGCATTTGGTACTTTAGAGAGAACATCAAATGCACCTGTACCAACATTATTCAATTTACCTAGAACAATTCTAGCAGATGGACTCTTCAATTCTTCATTTTCGTTATCCAAAACAGCCTTAGTTAAAAATTGACAGGTAGTTTCATATGACATCTTCATTAATGAAGAGGTGGATGTTTCCATACCTTGTCTGTTGAAAGCCAAATAAGTACCTTGTCTAGTCATCATATCAGCAATCAAATCCAAATGACGGAAAGAAACAGAAATAGCATAACGAGAGAAAACATTATTTATTTCATTGACAATGGTGTTTCTGGCAGCTTCAACACCGTATGTCTTTAAAACAGCAGAAACATCGTTAGAGGTAATACCATCAACGCCAATGAAAGCTTCTTGATCCCACATAGCTTGGAAATTAACACCTTCAGTGACCAAAACACGTTTACCATTTTCTGGTTCTGGGTGAACACAACGATCAATAAATGGAACTTGTCTGATAACAGTCTTTCTACAAATGTCCTCAACAATGTTAACCATCAACAATTTCTCTGTATCAGCGGCTAAGTCTAACTTAAACTCACACCACTTACCGGCTTCGTCGTCAAAGTTATACTTGGATATAAATTTATGGTTTGAAATAATAGCTGATTGACGATCACGTTGTGATTTGTTCAAGTTTTTGTTGCTTGAAACATTTTCGTTAACATCTGTCATTTCTTCATCTGACTCAGATTCATCATCATCAGATTCAGATTCTTTATCAGAGTCTAATTCACCTTCATCAGATGATTTCTCAGCTTCTCTCATTGTTTCAATCTCATCTTCATCTGGATCATCATATGAAACAGCTTGCTTTGTTCTTTTACGAGATTGTTCTTCATCATTATCTTCAGATGATCTTGTTGAACCTTCTACTGATGCCAATGCTAATTGAGATTTTGGAATTGCAATACCAATGTCTGCAGAAGTAGTCTTCTTTTGCTTCTTAATTTCCTTGACAATTGCAACTTCCAATGCACGTAAGAATTTATCAGAAATGACCTTTTGCAATTCTTCCTTTGAAACATCATACTCCTCATCGTATTCATTTTTGTCAAAAAAGTTCATGTTTACAACATAAGAACGTGAGTTAGAATCACTTGCTGAAGAACCGATTGTTTCAGTTACAATAACCTTGTCAATAACCTCAGATAATAAAACCTTTGAAATAGATTTAGAGAAAACGTCAGCTTGATCATCTGAAACATCATCCAAAATTGGCAGAGTCATTTGAGGAGTTTTAATAGCAGCTGAAGCTGTCATAATAATTTCTCTCATACGAGGAATACCTAAGGTCACATTAGCGGCACCGTGACCAGCAAAATGGAAAGTGTTTAAAGTCATTTGTGTAGAAGGTTCACCAACGGATTGAGAAGCAATAATACCTACAGATTCACCTGGGTTAATTAAGGAACGCATGTATTTTAATTGCATTAATGCTCTGAATTTCTTTTCATTTACAGATTTGTCAGACTCAAATAAGGAAGCATTGGAATCCAAAAACAATTCCAATTTATCTTGGAATTTTTCAGAAACAGCACCTAAGTATTTAGCTGGGTTGAACTTAGCTAAAGCAGGGTCATATTTAATATTTTGTTCATAATGAGGAACCTTTCTATTCTTCTTTCTACTTTTAGATGCCTTTTTGGAGTATTTTAGTGCAGTTTCGACATCTAAGTGTTCAATCAATGCAGATGGATTATATTTCTTCAACAAAGAGTCATAGTTTTCCAGACAGAATTCAAATTGAGTTAAATGAGATTCCTTTGTAACATCAACAGAATCACCACCATACAAAAATTGAATCAATGTACCATCACCGTCTCTGACACTGTTGTCATAAGATATATGAACACCTTCTAATTGTTTAGTCAAACAACGTTGCAAGTAACCAGATCTGGAAGTTTTAACGGCAGTGTCAATCAAACCTTCACGACCAGCCATACAATGGAAATAGTACTCTTGTGGCTTAATACCGGAATAGAAACGACCTTTAATGTAACCACCAGCCATAGCATCTGTTTCAAAAGGTTTGAAAGATGGTAATGTCTTACCACTGACCATTGTTGGTACTCTTCTACCTTCCAATGCTTGTTGACCTAACAAACACATAATTTGGGAGACATTGACATTAGAACCTTTAGCACCAGATAAGGCCATTGCTTGCATTGAGTTGTAAGGAAATTTCTTCATGGTACCATCTGGAACACACTTTGAAACGACCTTAGAAGTAATACTATTAACCTTTGAAGAAGTAACAGCATCAAGAATACCAGATTTGTTGTCATCACGTAAAATTTCTTCTAAACGTTTCAATAACTCTGAATCATCAGAAGCTGTTTCCTTTTCCAAATTGGTAACTTCACATGCAGCTTGACGACCTGTATCAACAGAGGTCTTCAAAATATCCTTTCTCCACTTATTACCTTCATCAGTCAAACGTAGATCATCCATACCACAAGTGAATGCTGTAGCAGTGATATAGTTAGTAAATAATCTACCCAAGACAGACAAAACCTTAGCAGCAACATCTGGACCATAAACTTCATGTAAAGAGTGAACAATACCGTACTTAGAAGCACCATATTGACTCTTATCTAGGATACCACATAATAGTTCACCATTTTTGAAAATGACATCATTTTCAGTGGAACCATTACCCCAATATTCATTCTTAATCTTGTTAGAAGAATTCAAATTGATACCAGGCATATCTGATGGAGTTACGTTCAATAAAACAGTAGTAATGATTTGTTTACCAGTCCATAAAGGCACTGGTTTAAATACTGCTGGTGGAACAGTAACAATCTTAGATCTTGTGGTATGACCATGTTCTGGACGAATACAACCGTAAATATACTGTTGATATTGTTCTCTAGTGAAGAAGCTATCTTTACTGGTTAACCAAACACCAGCTGAAATATGATCTTGAATCAAACCTCTGACTGGAGAACCTGATGTTGGTGTCAAGTATTGAGAATCGGTGTTTGCTAAATTGAATGCTTCTGCTCTTGCGTTTTCATTTTGAGGGAAATGCATATTCATTTCATCACCATCGAAATCCGCGTTATAAGCACCAGTGTTAGCATAATGTAAACGTAAAGTTTTTTCACCTGGCAAAACTCTAACTTTATGACCCATCATAGAAGCCTTATGTAAAGTAGGTTGACGATTCATAATGACAATATCTCTGTTTTTGATATGACGGTAAACCTTTTTGTTTAGAGTGTGTGTAGCAATGTTTGATGATGGTGTCATCAATTGGTTTGCCAAAGCTTTACGTTGTTCCAAAGTCATACCAATTAAAGAAACCAAAGAACCATCTTCATTTTGGATTTGAGAAGCACCTGGCCATTTATCAGGACCATTGATAACAGCTTGACGCAATTCAGCAATGTTATAAGAGGTAACAGGTTCTGGATAGGTCAATTTAGTTGCAAAAACTGGAGGGACACCAATTTCGTTAGTTTCAATATTTGGATCAGGAGAAATAACCGAACGAGCTGCATAGTTAACACGCTTACCCATCATATGTTTTCTGAACAAACCTTCTTTCTTTTCTAAGGCTTGCTTTACACCTGGAATTGGAACCTTACCACCGGTGTTACCTTGAGCCTTTGTAGAATCAATAAATGCATTTACGTCGTTTTGGATGGTGACGAAAGCATTCATTAATCTACTAAAAATGACTCTTCTATCTTGTAATGAAACCTTATCTTTTTGTAATTTTGACATTTCATCATTCAAGTCTCTAATTAATAAGGAGGTAGTTAAAATTTTAGACAACAATTGATTTTGAGTATTTTCATGAACTTCGTCACCTAATTTAGATGGCAAACGGAATCTTGTTGGTGGAACTAAGACAACTTCCATAAAAAAAGTATCGGCTTTTACCAACTTTCTTGATAAGTTTGGTCTAGCATGGAATACACATTGTAAAACTTCTTGTTCTGTTTTAAATACAGCTCTCAAAATGTTTCTGACCTCAGTTGACAAAATATAGGTAGAGCCTGTTTTTGGTCTAGCTGATGGGTTTCTTCCAACATCGAATTGTTCTTCTTCAGTGGTTTCATCAGAACCAGTTAATTTCTTAGCTTGTTCTTGTTTTTTAAGCATATCATGACGAATGAAACCCTTAACTCTATTGTTGGTCAATTGCTTATCATTTAAAGCAGTTTCAAAGATCTTGGTAAAACCATCCTTTCTGAATTTTGGAGAGTACATACCACAGTTGTCACACTTTGGTCTAGATAACAACTTCTTGTAAAAGTCATGGACCAACTTCTTTCTTTCATCATTGACGATAGCAGTGAAGGTACCTTTAATTGTTGTTTTGCCTTCGGACAAAGCTTTAGCAATGGCCATGTCAACGAATTCCTTACGCTTATTTTTAATTTCTCTTATCATTGAATCAGAAATAGATTTTGAAGACTTCTTTTCATCCATATCGTTATCTTCAGCAGCTTCATCATCATCATCATCTATAATGGATGACATATCACCAACGCTAATGGAATCCAATTGGTATGATTCATCGATTAACCCGTATTGTAGTAACTTCAATTTACATGTATAACGATGAACTTCAATAGATCTTAATCTAAAGTGATGGCAGAAAAGACATGAGCTTCTCAAATAGATGTACAATTGATTGAAGAACAATGGGTTGTAACATGGGACTGGCAATTCAATATGACCTTGATGACCAGGACAAAATTTTTCGTCTAAACCACATGTTGAACATAAGTTTCTCAAGAAAGCACCTAAGGCTAAATCATATAAACCACCAGAAATCGGATGACCTAAGTTATCCAATACGGTAGGATTAGTAATTTGTTTGGCAGACAAATTACGAATTTCTTGAGCTGTCAAGATACTGAAATCAATAGATGTGATTTCAGAACCAACTGGCTTAGAAATATCCATATTTGACAGTTCTTGAAAAGTTTTTCTCTCTAGTTATGGGAACTTAGTTAGTTAATTATTTAAAACAACTTAACTTGAAAATGACCACTGTCTAACGGGAAATATGGAAATCAATAGATGCCTTTAATAGTTGTGATGGGGATTTCGAGAACCAAGATTAAATCCAATTCCCAAATCATAAAAAAAGTCTCAATGAATATGATCAATTAAAGTTCAAAAAGTTTTTTTAATATAGTAAATTAACAGTAAATGCACTCAGAAAAGTTTTTAGTAATTGTAGGAAAAAAAAATCGATGAGATGAGGAAAACATTTGATACTTTATTGTCACTATTGTACATTGAATTCTATACAATACGAGCATTATTCAATGGGAATAAAAAAAAATTTTCAATCGTTTCTTTTTTATAAATCATGCGAACCCAACATCACAGTTAACGAACTAATCTTGTTATATATCGATCGATAACGACCACCAGTCTTAACACCAATAAGGAGTATAAAAGACCTGAAACACTTAACAAATGGGTATGGATCAAACAGAAACATCATCAAATAGCCATATTTCACAATCGGTATTGTATCTGAATAGAGTTAACTAATCTTGGAACATTGTAATCTTTTCTTGAATCAGGTTCCTAACAATTGGAATCGAGTCTTCTTACAATACTTCTGACACAATCAAAAAAAGAGACTAAGTAACTTGGAAAATTATAATATTCAGGCCATTAGTGACTTCTTTAAATTTAGAATGATAATATGGCCTTTTATTAGACTTTAATAACTAGTTGGGAAAAGTGTTTCATTAATTGTAATGAATTTTGAGAGATGACAAGTGCCATAAACCTACGATGAAATCAAAGAAACTTATCCTAAAAACTTCTTCTTTCTCTCTACAAAACACATAGTCATAGAAAACAAGCAATTAAAATGTAGACATAATATAATATGTCCGTAATTTTAACATTTGAAATAACGCATATATATGCTATTGGCGGTTAAATTTCCTTCCTTTTTCTTTCCTTGCACCAATTTCCCAGGATAAAAATAAACAAACAACAAGCTATTCAATTGAAACTGTTCATATTCAACCAATTGCTACCTTCCCAGTGTTACGTCTAATATAAATTGTAACTGGTTTAGTCCTTAAACGAAAGAAGATCAATGAAGAAGATGTCACAGTATGATCTCTTGCAGTCTTTGAAATGACACATTTCTGCTGGTTAAAAACACTTTCAAATGAACCGGAAACCTTCTGAATCATAAATATTTTTAAATTTTTGAAATTGATATATTGGATTGAACCTATAAATCTTTGTCTTGACATGTTTTCATCTTGTTGATTGACTTGTCTTATTTATAATTTGAGTCTCTCTTTATATCGAATCTCTCTTATCTGCATTTTTTGATCCATTCGTATAATGTGAGCTCATCGCATGGTCTAAAAATTTTTCATCAAGAACAAGGTCATCTCGAACTGTATAAGAGATGAATATGATACTTAATGGTATTGAATAGAGGTTTAAATATAGTATTCATCAACTTTCAGAGGAACCATTAGATTACTGAAGCACTAATTAACCAATATGTCTGCTGTGAAGAGATCCTTTGCAGACTTGAAAGTTGCCAAGTTTGTCAAAAGACATAAGAAGGACGCTAAGAACCCTGTTGATGAAAATGGTGTTTCTAATTGTATTGTACGTATACCAATTTCATTATATGTCTCTTTAGCTCCTATGTATAGTTGCAATCCATTGCAAGGTATAATGAAACAACATTTGAATCCAATGGTTATGAGATATAACAATTCTGTTAATGGTGTTGTTTTAGGTTATGAAAATTTAAAGATACTAGATTCTGACCCATTAAATGAAGAGTCCTCATCTGAAAAATTGATTAAACTGACTCCTGATACTCCATTTGGTTTCACTTGGTGTCATTGTGACTTATACGTCTGGCAACCTAATATCGGTGATTTCTTAGAGGGTTGGATCTTTATTCAATCTGTCTCACACATCGGTTTATTGATCCATGATGCATTTAATGCAAGTATTAAGAAGAATTTTATTCCAGAAGGTTGGACATTTGTACAAAATGAAGAAATTGATAATGCTTCACAATCTGGAGAAAACCAAAATGACGATAAAAAATCAAATTTCTCTTCCTCAATGGGCTATTGGGTTGATGAAAATGGTGAAAAGATTGAAGGTAAACTAAAATTCACTGTCAGAAATATCTATACAAAAGGTAAAGTTGTGTCAATTGATGGTACGCTAGTCAATGATACATACGATAAAAATAGCTTGAATTCTCAAGTTGAAAATTTAACTGTTGTATCAAACAAGAAAATTGTTTTCGATGAAGAAGTTTCCACTGAAAATAAAGAGAGTATCAAAGAATTAGAATTACCTGAAGTTAAAGAAAACGATGGCGAAGAATTAGTATACGAACAAAACACAAGTGATAGCGATGAGGACTCTAGCGATTCAAATTGATAATGCATAAACATATACAAATATATAAAAAATAATAATTAAACTCTCACATTCTGTAACATATATATTGAAGGATAAAACGAATATATAAAATTAAATGAACTAACATTTATTAAACTAGTATAAATTTATAAAAAAATTCTCGCATTAGAATTAATTAGAACAACAAAAAATTGACATTGCATTTAAAAAAAAAATAATGAAATATATATTTAAATAATTATGAATAAAAAATATGAACCTTTACCGATATATATATATAATAATGTGCCGCCAAAAAATAAGAAAACCTAATCCCAAAATGTCTAAAATAAAATTACCTTGAAATTGTTAAAATTTCTTTATATTAAAATGTAAATGTAAAATGAAATTAAAATAAAAATGATGATGAACATGAAAATAAAATGAGATCTAATTAATTGCAAATATTTATTACCATTACAAATATTTGTCAAAATTAGAATCTTCTAACCAGCCAATTTTCTCATATGCTGCATATAACCTAGAAGCCTTGTTAACGTCTATGCGACAAGCCTTCTGAGCGTCAGTACGTCTAAACGGTAAACCCTCCTTATAACGATAAACCTTTTCTAAGAATAATCTTCGCTTTGAGTCCAAGTACAAGTCACATGGTAATCTCAATATCTGTGCCAATACTAGTTCAGCAGGATGCAATTTATCCTTCAATGGATCACGAGATAAATCCATTGGAGAACCTTTCCATTCTACCTTCATAACTTTTACATTGTTTGGAGGTATTGTGGATAATGGAGGGGAATAGTCTGGCAATTTTTCCCATGACATGTTTGGAATGTACTGAGGAGTATTATTAACAATATTAGCTGATGCTAAAGGTGGAGACGTCAAAGGTGTTGCTTTTTTAACCTTACGGACAGGAGTTGAAGGAGCTCTACTGCGGTCAATTTGAGAATCATCATTTTCACTATCAAAGAAAAGACCTTCGTTGACTCCTCTATTTCTTGCACGTTGTAATCTTTCAATGTATTCTGCCGAGCTATACTTATAAGGTCTATATCTCTTAGTATATCTGTTTGCAGGCATTCCAACATACCTTGTCTTCCCTGATGTATCCATTGTCTTTATACCACTAAATGATCTATATTGAGATAAGAAACCATGTGTACCATACCTATATCTTTTCACTGTCATACCTTGAGGCCAACATGGTTTAACCATAATGCCAATTTTTTTCACTGGTGCAATCTCTTTAGAAGTCTTTGAAAATTCAATTGGGCTTAATTGAGGGGACAATGGGGGCGAAGGGATATGATGCTCATCTAGTATTGAATCTATGTTTGAAGTAGAATTAATCAACCCAAGACAACGTGACTCTAACATTCTTGGATTACCCAATCTATTCACTCCTTCATATTTAGTATTATTAGTATCATTGTAGGGCACATCCGAAAGTAGTAAAGGTCCGTTGTGATGATTTGGCAATACTCTATTAGCCATCAACATTGTATTGATGCTATGCTCGTTAGAATGAATTTCCATTGCATTCTTTGAGCAAGAATCAGAATCTTGTGTAATAACGTTTTTTAATAATTCTAAAATTTGATTATTTTCCTTTGGAGTCACCACTGTATTCAACTGAGCATGCTCTGGTTGTGGAGAAAATAATTCCATATTTATATGAATATTGCTCTTTAAATAATCAATGAATCTCTCTTTGCTTTGTTTGTATATTTATATTCTTCTTATAATCGATTGATTTCCTTTCCTTTAAAAATAAAAATAATTAATAGTTAACCAATTTACTCTGAGAAATAAAATTTGGAGTACAGGCTAAATCTAAACCAATAAATCAAAATTCGATATCAATTAATGAAAAATTGACTGTTTCTCACCAACAATTAAAAAATAATAAATAAATCCAATAATACCAAATAAGTGGAAAGTGTAATCTCCCGATTTAAATATCAAAACTATATTTATAACTTAGGATGATTCATAAATTAATAATCCCTTAATCATTAAAGAAACCTCTTAAATATTCCAGAATTTTTTAGCCTTTTGTTCCAGTAATTTCTACTAATTTCCAATCTATTACTAATAATTTACTGTATGACAAACCATTTTAGTCGGGATGATCCTAAGCCCCATAGTATCACTTTTATCAAATATCAATTCATTACTAAAAATGGCAACATTGCGGGAAAACCGGATAATATCACCTGGGAACTAGAAATCACTGCACCTCGGTCCCTTTTAAAAATATCTTGTCTGCACCAAAAACATGAAATCACGTGAATTTTGATAATTCCATTGCAGCTCTTTCTCCCAGAACATAATCATCAATCATAAAATAGGTACATCCATCCAATCCAACTAGCTAGTGGAAATACCCCCCTTCCTTTCTTTTTGATGAAGAATCATCATAGTAATTGGCTGTGATTCTAATGTATCTACTAATGCTCATAAATTGGGAATACAATGCAGAGAAGTGGTCTGGTTGGAGGGTTTTTGGAGAGCGACCTGGAAGAGAAGACACGCTCAGTGGTAGATAGAGGGTAGGTTCGTGTGGTTCTTGCTGCTGTTGCTTAAACAGAAGGAAGAAATATCAAAGGAAAAAAAATAATCAGATAAATATATGATGCTAGGAGGAGAGGAGGGAGAAGAGAAGGGGGGGGGGGGAGGAAGACGCTATGATGGGAAGGGATGGGAGAGGGGAAAAAGAAATCAAGTCTCAACAGGATTAAAATGGGTCATAATCAAGTTTCGTTGCTTATCTGAAAAACGTTATTCTGTTTTGTTTTCCTTTCTCTCTGTGATTTCAAAGCATATATCCCATAGTCCGTAGTAGTGCGAATTCATCCATAATTGGTGATAGTCGGAAAGTACACAGAATGTGAACCAAAGGGTTCTCAACATACTACGGTCTTCAGGTTTATCAAAACCAACAACGACAACAGCAACTGTTTTTATCACAGTACCTGGTCTGCGAGAGAATGACGCGTTTCTATGTGGATCTGTCTGTTTGGTCAGGTTTCTGTTGTCTTGGATTGACTTTTGCTTCTGCATTTTGCTCCGATACTTTTATGAACCAAATTAAATCACAATCTGTATTACCAACATGTATAGTTTTTTATAGATATGGTAGGGGAAGAGTACTTGACATAAAAAATTATCAAATACATGATGCAACTACATTGGGTTATATCAGTTATAGACTAGACATGTGCAGGAATATGATTAGCTAGGCTTTGTGACCCAGACTTATGAATGTTTATCAAAAATCCAGCAAATTAGGCATATTTGCTTTGTGAAAAGTATACATGACATCATCTTATTTGGGTATTTTAAAAATTGTCCCGTGTTTCTTGACTGAACAATAGCCAAGTTGCCTATCGTAGACAAACCCTCATTTGGTTTTAATTTAATCACCCCAAGGGTCCCATTTCTTCTGATGATCTATCACTGACTACCGAGGATCCAACCAAACTTTTGTTTTCGTTGGATTAGATTAGTAGATCAAAACTAACTGGCAAGTTCATTTATGCCCATAGTATTAATTGTGATATCCAAATTCTTGTCCAGAAAAGATAAAAATTAATCAATTAGAACTTGACTTGAAATGAATTGCCATGATGTGCAAGCTTCTAAAGACTATATCAATGATAAATAGAGCCCATTGATGATATTTTCTTGAGAATCCGTTAGGCGCCATAGCAATAATCACAAAAGTTGTTGAAAACAATCTCTCAATGAAATTTCATTATTTTTCAAGAACTTTTTCAAGTGTTTTATAAATATAAGACAAATTGGTAGCAATTGTCCATAACGCACTTTCTTGTGATCCAATTGTGATGGTTCTTAATGGCAATTGTTGATGTAACTTTTATCAATCAAGAAGTTATGATCAACATTTTCATGAACATATTTTTTTTTGCTTTTACTTCGCATGGATCAAAATCATACAATACGAACACTAAGGTACAAGTAAAAAGTGTCAGTAATACCATTAAGAATATTTAGCCGATGGACTGAACGTAACCTGACTAAAGTGAAGTTCATGTTTACATAAAATATATTTTCCAATACTCTCAACAGACATCTTGTCATTAAACCATGCTTTATATTTCCTTCTTAAAACTATGTTATATAAACTAGAATATACAATGAATAGGTTCATATCATAATTCATCATGTAATGGTTCACCTGAACCTTTTGAATTAGCAGAGCCATTGGAAATCAATTGTCTCAAAGCAGAAAGCTTTTCCTCAGATATTTCTAATCTTTTCTTTAGTGATTTTTTTAATGGCGCGATTGAAACATCTGCTTGTACATCATTAACTAAATCTTGGCCGATGTTTGTTAGAGATCTAACGTCCGCTGATAGTCTTTGATAATGGATTCTTAATTTATCACCACCACTGAGTTTCCTTAATTCTTGCAAATTAATAACAAAACCAGGATGAATGGAATGGAATCTTAGTTTCTTTTCTTTCAGCATTTTGGACCAATATCCTTCACTCCAGTAACCTTTTCCTGAAATTGGAAACATCACAAATGGCGAAGAGAACTTAGAACTTCCTTCAAGTATATCAAATATATCAATTGGTTCTCTTGTTGGATCCATGTATACTATTTTATCCACTTCTTGGGGAAACAAGACATCGATAAAAATGAATTTGGAAATATCAAGTCTTCTATCTATAAACCTCTGGGGTCTTAACCAACTTGGCCAATTATACTTGATAAATTCAATTTCACTATTAACCGATTCTTCCAAAGTAATCCTGCTACAAAATTCTCTAAACGATGTGGATAATTGGGGAATATCGAGGATCCAAAATTTGATTCTTTTTCCATCATTTTTAGAACTTGCTAATATTGATAAAACCATTTCTTTGTAGTTTCCCTCTTCCTCAGGACTGCCGTTCAAGGTTGAAAAAATGTTAATTTTATTGTCTTCGATAGTCTTTACAAATTTATCATCGGATAATTTTCTTAACTTCACATATACCTTTTTTGGGTTGAAATCAAGTATAGAAAAAGACTTGACAGATATGTAGTCAGAATATGCGGCATCTGAAAATGACACAACTTCAAATCTAGGGTCACAACTTTGAATTTTAAAACATTTTCCCAGTTTTGGAATATTAAATTGTCCATAGCCGAATGTTTCCATAGTAAATGCCTTTCCTACCAAATTATCCGAGGAGTCAAGTAACTCCAGACATACCCCACCTTGACCATCAACAGTACCTTCAGATACAGGTCTAGTTTCATCAAATGCATGAACTTCTAATACTAAATCGGTAATTTCAAAATTTTCATTCATAACCATTTCTGGATTAGAATCAATTTCAATATCAAAATATTTCCTCAAATCACTTGATAATAGATCATCAATATCAGTATTTGGAAGGTAAACTCTTTCAATAGAATAAAAGGATAAATCTTTAGTTGGTAAAATAACCAGTTTTATGTTTATAAATGGCAGTTGTTCAATCTTAGAAACTAGTGAAAGTATTTTTTGACTACGTTCTTCTAATGGGTCTAATATTAACAAAATATCCACTGGCTTTGGCTTTGAGGTTTTGTCAAATATAGTAAAATCATCATTCTCTAAGAACTTATTCAAATCCATTCTTGGCAATTCACTCTCAGTTTTATATTCGATACCGTTATGATAAATGTCTGAACTATGGTAAAACATTTTTGTCAATAAAGATGATGCTACCTCAACATTATTAGGATCAACACCATCTATAAAAAAGTCTGGATATATTTCTTCAAATGAATACATAGTGTCAAGAGTTCTCTTTGCTTCACGTTGAAGAATAGACTCAAACAACTTCGTGTCAAGAATTTCATCTCCTTCAAATGATATCACTTTACCGTTGAAAATCATAAAGTTTCTATCATCAATGTATTTAAGAGGAACATCTGGTAACCATTTATGCAAAATATCAATTCCCACTGATTTTTCAGATCCTTTCTTCAACGGTTTCTTTCTTTGTAATGATTCAACTACACTTATTAAATCTTTCGACTTTAAAAATGCATCTTTTAACTTCCCCCAGTTCCCAGATTTATCATCAAACAAGTTAATTAACCTTATTTTGATACCACCATAAGATATATTGATTAAACTTTCCAATCTGTTTAGTGCTTCAAGTTGGTTAAAATCATCAGCCAATGTTATTGTGTGTAAAACGTTGAATTCTTTGTTTGGAATATATTCAATCAAGTTCTCTCTAATATTTTCTAATATACCATTATTCATATATGTATAGACAGAATCAGCAAAATAATCAGGAAGATACCTGCTATTTCTATTAACACCCGACTTCAAATGCAAGAGACCTCTTACTTTAACATCTTTTTGACCTTTTTGTCTGGACAATTCACGCTTTAATAAAGTAACATCCTTTTTGATAATCTTTGCAATTAAATAATTCCAAGTATTACTTTTGAAAGGATAAATTTCACCATTTATTATCACCGAGTTCTCATATATTTCCATATCTTCTAAAAATTTGTCGATTGAAGGGACATCTTCATAATCACTAAACAACAAATCTTTATCATTTATTTCGTCATTTTCATTTTTTAATAAAGCATTCAAAAATTCTATCAAATGCTTTATACCAGATTCTTTCAATTCGTAAATTGATCTAATAATATTTTTATCATTTCCGGTATGCAATGGCAGTAGACCTATTCGTTGAGGATAACCTTGGGATATAATATTCAAAGCCCGTATTAAACCAGATAATGCCTCTTGAGTTTCAGAGTCATGTAATGTGTTAAAATCAATTACAAATATAATCTCATTCCAATTTTGTCGAAACTCAGGGATTTCACCATATTTGGATTTTTCAAAGAAAGCTTCAACATCAGTAGATAATTCATTATACTGTGTATCCTTTTCTATATCGTTAAAATAAATTACACTACCTTCAAATGCAGGAATTCTGTGAAGATCAAGCTTAAAAGGTTGTAATTCTTTGAGATTATTTAATGAAAATTGAGAAAAGCGACTCAACAATTTTTTAGCCAAAGGTAATGTGTTTTTAGCACCAATATTCGATAATAGCTTTTCAAACCGATTAACATCTTGTAATTCCATTTTAATCGCATTCAACAGCGTGTATTCATTGAGCATTGAGAAACGTAAATTATTCCCGTTTATATATAAACCCAACATATTATAATCGATACCTTTCTTCGATAGTAGTTTTTGGGTTTCAATAATTCTTTCATTGACTTTGGCTTTCAAAAGCTGTGGAACTAACAACAAATAATTATTAACAATACTCTTAGCATAATCAAGAGTTTTTGAAAAATTCTTAGTTTTCTCGTAGAAGCTTCCTATCAGAGATGCTACTTTTAAATCCATATCTTTAAGTTCCTCGGTTGTAGGTAATTGCATAGTATATTTTCTTTTTCTAAATTCTGCTGGCAGATCTCCTGGGAAATCATAATTCCATTTTGTTAGCCCTGAATTTTTACGCTTTGTCAAACTCACACTTAATTCAATGGGATCATCTTGATAATCTAAAGAACAAGTAGACCTCCATATATATCTCAATTTCTCTGCCTTAGCTTCTGCAAAAAGATTTCTATTAAAGCTATCAAAAACTCCGTCTCCTACAGGGCACCCATATAGAAGCACAATTGGAGCTTTACTGTTCTCACCAATAACCACATCATTGACCAATAGTATATCTGCGTCTTGTTTTAAGGATTGTTTCTTCAAATCTCCAGATTTCAGATAAAAAACATCGTCAGGTTCATAATAATGCTTATCATTTAAAATGAAGTAATTAGAGTTTGTTTCTTCTCCATCTGTAAGTTCAGAAGGAAATCCCATAGGATATAGATAACAATACTCTATCAATAGAGCAGCCTCATTTGGTTTCTGAAACTCTTTGACCAAAAGTTCCGAAACAGTTTCAGGCAATTGTTCCATATCTTCTAAAATCAAAGAGTCATCCAATTGGAAAACTACTGGAAATAATCCTTGAAGCACCGAAAGGTCATCCTCTAAAGATAATATACGAGTCAATACAGTCCATACCCTGGCTACCTCAGGCACACCAAAACCATTCCTATCTCCTAAGCCATTACTGTGGGCAACTAATGCTAAAAATGTTAAAACAATAGTAGAAACCCAATTCAAACTCCATTTCTTCACTACCATTATCCCCAAAACCACAAAGAGAAACAAAGAAAACACAACCTCGGCCTATATCACTTATAAATTAATCTCTCAGACATTCTAGCCACAAGATCATAGACAATTCATCAATTGAATGCAGCTTTAACAGTTCTTAAATATCCAAACCTTTAAATTCTTTTAAAGGTTTGGATATTTTCTGTAATCTGATACCTAGAGCCGTGTCCGAAACAACCATGGTATTACCTTTGTTGCATAGTCAAGTGTGCCGGACAGAAAAATTTTCCCAATTAGTTGTACGCAGTTTCTCTGAAATCACAGCATAAAAAAGTTGGATATTTTTTCGAAACTGAAATTTGACAGTTCGAACAAGAAAAGATGTAAAACTAGATGGGTCATCTCTAATTGAGTTTCGAACAATAGGAAACAGTTATTCTTTATAAAAAAGATTTGGTTATTGTAGTTTATGAATCTATTTCAAGTTGGAATTAATATTTAAATATTGTTTGTTTTAATCAAGTATCTTTTGGAATAGCCCACGGAGGAAATATTATCTTTGACAGAGGAAATATTATTTATTTTAGTGGTATATTCGATAGTTGTAGATATATATTCTATTAGAAAAAAAAAAAATTCCGTTGAGAGATGACTATTGGTGATACAGATAGATGGACAGCTGCTGTTGTTCGTAATACATTTTTGGATTATTTCAAGTCCAAGGAGCATAAGTTTGTTCGTTCTTCTCCTGTTGTTCCATTCGATGACCCAACTTTATTATTTGCTAATGCTGGTATGAACCAGTACAAACCAATTTTCCTAGGTACTGTTGATCCATCTTCTGAATTCTACACTTTAAAACGTGCTTACAACTCTCAGAAATGTATCAGAGCCGGTGGTAAGCATAACGATTTAGAGGATGTTGGTAGAGATTCTTACCATCATACATTTTTTGAAATGTTGGGTAATTGGTCATTTGGTGATTATTTCAAGAAGGAAGCTGTTGAATATTCTTGGGAATTGTTAACTCAAGTTTATTCCATTCCAGCCGATCGTTTATATGTCACTTATTTTGAAGGTGATGAAAAACAAGGTTTAGAACCAGATCATGAAGCTCGTGAATTGTGGAGATCTGTAGGTGTCCCAGATGACCATATCTTGCCAGGTAATGCTAAGGATAATTTCTGGGAAATGGGTGAACAAGGTCCATGTGGTCCATGTTCTGAAATTCATTATGATAGAATTGGTGGTAGAAATGCTGCTCATTTAGTTAACCAAGATGATCCAGATGTTTTAGAAGTATGGAATTTGGTCTTCATGCAATATAACAGAGAACAAGATCGTAGTTTGAAATCATTACCAGCTAAACATATCGATACTGGTATGGGTTTTGAAAGATTGGTCTCTGTTTTACAAGATGTTAGATCCAACTACGATACTGATGTCTTTCAACCATTATTTAAAGCCATTCAAGAAATCGCAAACGTTAGACCATATACTGGTAAATTCGGTGCTGAAGATGTTGATGGTATTGATACTGCCTATAGAGTTTTAGCCGACCACGTCCGTACTTTAACTTTCGCTTTAGCTGACGGTGGTGTTCCAAACAATGAAGGTAGAGGTTACGTTTTAAGACGTATCTTGAGAAGAGGTGCTCGTTACGCTCGTAAATATATGAATTACCCAATTGGTAACTTCTTCTCTCGTTTGATGCCAACTTTGATTGAACAAGTCAAAGATATATTCCCAGAAGTCGCCAAGGATCCTTCTTTTGTTGCTGAAATTTTGGATGAAGAAGAAGCATCTTTCTCTAAGACCTTAGATCGTGGTGAAAAGCTATTTGAAAAGTATGCCGCTGCTGCATCCCAAACCGAATCCAAGACCTTAGACGGTAAACAAGTTTGGAGATTATATGATACTTATGGTTTCCCAGTTGATTTGACCGAATTAATGGCTGAAGAACAAGGTTTGAAAATCGATGGCCCAGGTTTTGAAAAAGCTAAGCAAGAATCCTACGAAGCTTCAAAGAGAGGTGGTAAGAAGGACAATTCTGACTTATTAAAATTGAATGTCCACGAATTATCTCAATTGAACGAAGAGAAAATCGCTAAATCCGATGATTCTTCTAAATACGGTTTTGACAATGTCGATGGTACAATTTTGAAATTATATGATGGTGAACAATTTGTTGATGAAATTACTGAACCAGGTAAAAAATACGGTATTATATTGGACAATACCTGTTTCTATGCTGAACAAGGTGGTCAAGAATATGATACTGGTAAGATAATTATCGATGATGTTGCTGAATTTAACGTCGAAAATGTCCAATTATATAACGGTTATGTTTTCCACACTGGTTCTTTGGTCGAAGGTAAATTATCCGTTGGTGACAAGATCATCGCCGCTTACGATGAGTTACGTCGTCACCCAATCAAGAACAACCACACTGGTACTCACATCTTAAACTATGCTTTAAAAGAAACTTTAGGTAATGACGTTGACCAAAAGGGTTCCTTAGTTGCCCCAGAAAAGTTAAGATTCGATTTCTCCCACAAGAAGGCTTTATCCTTGGATGAATTACGTAATGTCGAAGAAGTCTGTAACCAACAAATTAAAGATAACATGGCCGTATACTATAAGGAAGTTCCATTAGATTTGGCTAAGACCATATCTTCTGTTCGTGCTGTCTTTGGTGAAACTTATCCAGATCCAGTTCGTGTTGTTTCCGTTGGTAAACCAATTGATGAAATCTTAGCTAACCCATCCAATGAAGAATGGAACAAATACTCTATTGAATTCTGTGGTGGTACCCATGTTTCCAAAACTGGTGATATCAAATATTTCATCATTTTGGAAGAAAGCGGTATTGCAAAGGGTATCAGAAGAATCGTTGCTGTTTCCGGTACTGATGCTTTTGAAGCTCAAAGAATCGCTAACGAATACGAATCTGAATTAGAAAGCACCGAAAAATTACCTTTCTCCCCATTAAAGGAAAAGAAATTAAAAGAATTAGGTGTCCAATTAGGTCAACTATCCATTTCTGTCATTAAGAAGAATGAATTGAAAGAAAAGTTCACTAAAATTGAAAAGTCAGTCAAAGATGAAGTTAAATCTAGAGCTAAATTAGAAACCAAACAAGTCTTGGATGAAGTCAAAGAACATTTCACCGAAAATACCGAATCGCTATTTTTAGTCAAACATATCGACATCCCACCAAATGCCAAGGCTATCACCGAAGCCATTGCCCATATTAAAACCAAAAACAAGGATAAGACTATCTATTTGTTAACAGGTAATGACCCAGAAGGCAGAGTTGCCCATGGTTGTTTCATTTCCGATGTCGCCATCAGTAAAGGTGTTGATGGTGCAGCTTTAGCTAAGAAAGTATCTGCTTCTATTGGTGGTAAAGCTGGTGGTAAAGGTAATGTTTTCCAAGGTATGGGTGACAAGCACATTGGTATCGAAGAAGCTGTCGCTGCAATTGAAGCCGAATTCAACCAATTTCTAACCATGTAATCTGACACAGAATAAATTCCTTCACCCCGTCCCCCCCACTCATCAAACAAATTAAAATAAAATAAAGTAGAATAAAATAAAATATAGAAAAATACAAGAAAGGAAAATATATCTCAGATTTGTTATAGTTTTTACTCGGATCCAACCTGCATAGTATCAAACGGTCGAATCGTATATATTAATAAATTATCTTCTTTTTTGTTTTTATCTCACTTTTTTTTCCCTGGTTATCTGTTATTTTATTATTTTTAAATTAATAAACCATCAACCTTCTATTGTGTAAATTAATACTATAATAATACATATGAATCTATAAACTCCAGACTGTCCCTCCTGTCATCAACCTTGATCCAACTTTGATCCATAACCTTAATATCGATTACTGACACATTCAGATCACGTGATAGTTCATCTTGTTTTTTCTTCTTCTCATGCTGAGGCTTAGTGTTACTCCTACGTACAAAACGATACTATTCCTATATATTCTAAAATTGGTTTTAATTTTTGATGTCATCATCATCATGAATCCAAATTAACATTCGAAGATGGGATTTAATATCAAAAGGAACTAAATAACTTTTTAAAGATAGAATCATATGAACTAGAGGGAGGTTTATAAAAGGTTTTACTCTTGTTGAAGTTATATTCTCAGAGACACTTTAGCAGATATCGAGTTTCTGGAGTTTAAAGAGAAAGTTTTGAACGTGAGCGTAATAGTTTAGCTTTCCAGTTGATTTTTTTTTTTTAACTTTAATTATTGTTAATTGAGAAGAAGTAAGTTTTTTTAATAGGATTGATCCATCTATAAATAAAGAAATATGTCATCCTCTGTTCCATATGATCCTTATGTTCCACCAGAAGAACAAGAAGTTCCAGAAGAGCCACAATCTAAAGTTGCAGCTCTAAGGGCTGAAATCGATGATACCGTTGGTATCATGAGGGATAATATCAATAAAGTAGCCGAACGTGGTGAGAGATTGACTTCTATTGAGGATAAAGCTGACAATTTAGCAGTTTCTGCACAAGGTTTCAAAAGAGGTGCCAATAGAGTTAGAAAGCAAATGTGGTGGAAAGATTTGAAGATGAGATTATGTCTAGTATTGGTAGTCATTATTCTGCTTGTGGTGATCATTGTCCCTATTGTTGTTCATTTCACATAGACTAGTGTCATAATAGAATCGTCATTGTCCATAAATTTTCAAGTTTAAATTTTTTTTATTTTCCCCTTTTCACTATTTTACGTTTTATGTGTTACTTCCCTTCCCTCCCCATTCTACTATGTTTAAGCTATTTTTAAAAACCCAATAAAAAGAAATTTGACGATTTAGTTGTGGTTGATCATTATGGCAGCAATATACCGTAATACTATCAATCATTATTCTCAAGCATATCTCTATCAAAAAAATATATATATTTAAAAGACAAACAAAAAAAAAGAAAAAAACTAAAACAAATCCAATTCCCTACTATTACAAACAGACTCTCAAAATATCATTGTATATATGTGGGAATAGATCTAAAACAAATAACAAGTTGCAATCAATTAATTTTAGCAATGAAAATATTATCTTTTATCATTCGGAATAATCTTTCACTTAATAATACATACTTATATTTATATATTTTATCATATCTATCATATACTGTATATTAAGTTTTACTAATAAAATATCGGAATATACTTATTATCACTGCATAGACCCAAAACTTCAAAGTATTAGTACAAATATCCATGAGTATTCATATTCATACTTGAAACCTCTGCAAAACTCAAATTTAAAGATTTTACCCTTTTAGTCCATATCGTATTACTAAGACAATTCCCGAAATTGCTAATAATGGGTAAAAAGCAATTTTATATAAAGAAAGAGAGACAAAGGATCTTAAGATCTTAATATCTACAGATCAAATCAGATGCCAATAAGAACATAGATATAGTGAACACTAACTTATTTGGTGATAATACAGTGGTGGTTTATATCAGTGTATGTTTATTGTCAAAGAGATCAAAGGAAAGACACATTACTGGAACTTATTATCCAAGAAGGTCTCGTAAAGGTCAGACCATAATACTTTTTGGGCATCGATAGGGCAAAAGTTGCTGCTTTTTAAATTTATAGTTTGCAAAGATTGAAATAAGTTCAGAACAACACATTTTCTGAAGAGGATAAGAATGCATGGAGGTCCATCAAGTTCAACTTTTAAATTTTCAAATGTTTCAGAGCATGACAATGGCATTAGTCTAATCAAGAAGCCAAATGCGTCATTTATGGGGCATACTAGCAAAACAATACCAATAATTACTGTAAGTGACGGAGATGAAGATTGCGACGCTGAAACTATTGTGTTGAGAACACAATCTGAATTAAGTTTGAAAAATTTGAATAATATTAAAAATTATGAGATTCCGACTAAGATTAACAGTTCTCCAAATATGAAATTACCCAAGACTTTACATTCTTCAAATGAAAAGGAACTCGATTTAACTTCGTCATCTAGTGGGACTTTTAGCGATTTTATGTTTCATAATGAAAAATCCAAGACACCACTAGAACATACAAATTCTTCAGGGTCTTCAAATTCAATAATTTCATCTAATGAAGATAAGGACAAATCTAAAAATCTAAATGCAGAACATTCTCCATTTACTAATGATAATGTTATAAACAGTGAAGAGCACCTAGTGCTCAAACCAAATTATAGAGGGAAGAGTAGTAGGTCAATGTCACATGCAGTAAATCATGATAGGAAAAGACTAGTTGATCAATTTTTGGATTCTGTAAATTGTAGTGGCGGTTTAGAAAGAACAAGAACAAATGATGAATTTAATACTATAAATCTTTCAAGAATCACTACATCTACATCCAATAATAGGGTAAATAATAAAGAAATTAGATTACAAAAATCATTCGAAAATTTCTTTTATAATGATTTGATAAGATCATCTCGTCACAAATCTTCAGGGTCTTTGAATTCTCCTGACCATTTATCTCATGGAGAAAAATATAGAGAACACTCTGAAGAATTGAGGTTACCACATGAAAGAACGAATAGCAATCAGCATGATGACATTGAAGACGTATCTGACTTATCTAAAGAATCAAGCAATCAACCTGAAGAAACTAATACAACACAAGATGATAAACTAACATCAGGTGTGGAATTAGCAATGTTCTGTAATGAATTATACTATTCACAATCTCATATACAAAAACAGTTGATTAAATATGAAACCATTTTAAGAAATACTTTCAAAGATTTACTAGTTAAAGAAGAATGCAATTTCAAGGAAGATTTGGAGTCATTCGATAGTCTATTAGATGATTTAAATGAAACGAAAAGTAAAATTATTGGAATTAAAGAAGTCGTATCAGGAAATTATTTGAAATTCCTTGAGACAAAGTTTGATAAAGAGAATGATGAATCATTTATTTCGAAGTTAACACAATCTGTTTCAGAAAGTGTAGAACAATTGGATTCTTTGGAAGAACGTTTGGATACATGTCGTGAAATTGTCACTGATCAAAAAAAACGTTTATCAAAAATGGAAAATATATTAGAAGTAAAGAAATCATTAAAGCAATCTAAGCAAAAGTCTAAAATTAATCATAAGTATTCATATATTGCATTAGATGTGGCAGCAGCAATTCTTCTTTTGATTGGTGCCTTCGCTATTATGGATTTGATTTAACTATTTAAACATCAATCGGTATTTGGGTATTTGGGTATTTGGTTTTCGCATTTTTCTTTTCTACTAATTTAAAAGGTCATATTTTAATATTTATACATCATATCAACAATTTTGCTAAATATATTATCTAATTTATACGTATCATTATATAAACATTATAGATTTACAACTAAACAAATTACTTATTTGATTTAGAGGAAAATATTGCATATTATACAAATAATATATATTTGAACCGAACGAAGGAGATTATTTGTCTAACACTTGATGAAAGTAATGCATATTATGTTTAGACACCTATATTTCTACAATTACATACATATATATTAGTGACACGATAATAAAACTATCAAATTTCGAATGAATCAGTTTTATGAATGTTTACATAATCTGAATTTTCATCATTAGTTGGATCTTCAAATGGATTATTAGTTAAACTATTAATACTCTCATGTTCTAACATAGTTTCTTGATTCTCATCCCTAAATGGATTCGCGGATGCATCATGTAGTTCACCATACATACCTCTGCGCTGCGTTGTATCATACATTCTAATAATTTTATCTTGACCACCTTCTTCACTTTGAGAAAAGGCAAACCCTCTTTGCTTTTTAATTCTTTGAACCTGTCTAACTTTGCGAATAGCATTTTGGAAATGCTGTACTTGTGGTCTATAATCCTTAATCTTATATTTTTGCATTTCTTGGACAACATGATATGCTTGAGGAATATACATCCTTCTATAATATTTCCATGCAAAATCTCTTAGTAAAGCAAAAATTGGAAGAACTAATAGCATTAACCAAAATGTAGCCGAACCATAAGTATGTGTTACGACTCCAAAATATTCTGTAGAAACATTTGCGTGTGGAAAAATTGAGGCATATATTGGGAAGAAAACCAACCAGAATATGAAAGATCCAGGTATAGCTAATAATGTAAACTTTGTCCATTGATTTGTTATCAAAGCAGCTTTACCCAAAACAATTAGAACACTTGTAGTATAAATAGATGTACCCCAGGTCCAATGATCAGCTACTTCACCATGATGATTTAAAGCAAAACCGTTACGGTAAAATAAGTATGAACCAACATATGTTACTGCTGAATGGTAAAATCCATTAGCAACCCATCCCCAGAAAATAGGAACAGAGAAAAATTGACCTTTTTGCCCCAATTTATATAATTGAGGGTATTTTTCCAATAAACGACTGCTAATGAATTGATCAAAAACACCAATCACAAATGGAGGAAGAACAGTAAAAAATAAGTTATAGAAAGTAAGCGTCCATGATTCAATAATTGATTGACCAGAAAATGCATTTGAGAAAACATACCAAAATTGTGCCATGTATAATGCAATGTTCTTGTAAAAAGAATATAAGATAGCAACAGAAATTCTTTGATATGACCATGAACCATGTACTAATAATAATTTTTTTAAGTATTTGAATTGGCCAATGGCAAAATCTGCTGAACGAGAAGCTTGCATACCTTCCATACCACTGATACCAACACCGACATGTGCGGCTTGAATCATACTAACATCATTTGCACCATCTCCAATTGCCAACAGTAAAGACGACGTTTTACGTTTAACCATTTTAACAACCAATGCTTTTTGTAAGGGAGACACACGGCAACAGATAACAGCCTTACATAGAGTACCTATTTTTAAAAGATAGTCCTCTAAATCTGGTTCAAGGGCATACCCCAATGATTTACCATCAATAACCATAGCCAATGTACTTAAATCTTGAGCTGAAAGTTGGTGGTCATCAATAGCTGCAATTTTCTCCAACAAGTTTTTTCTTGTATCCTCTTTACTGTTCTCATTGATAACCAATAGATTCATATCTTCACTTAACAAACTACAACTCATACCAATATTAATAGCAGTTTCTTGTCTATCACCAGTTAAAACCCAAATTCTTATACCAGCTTCTTGTAAAGTATGAATTGTTTCTGGAACATCTTCTTGTAATTTATCTTCAATTGCAGTGGCACCAATCAAAATCAAATTCTTTTCAATTAATTCAGCAGCTTCATCCAACTTGGTTGATCTATCGTCAAGGGTAGTTGCAGCAGAATTATATATTTCACTCCATTCTTCATATTCTTCATTAGAAATATCTCTCATTCCCAAACATAAAGTTCTTAAACCTTCTGATGCGTAATCTTCTAGATGGCGCATAGTAGCATCAACAAATTCATTATCATCCGGATCAAGCCTTTCTAAGATTACAGTATCAGCACCTTTACAAAATAATTTAATTGATCCATCCGGAAGTTTAAAAATTGCACTCATTCTCTTTCTTGTTGAATTGAACTCACAAATGTTCAATAACTGATATTCTTTCTCTTCCCCACTGTCTTCAATTAAAACTCTTACAGAATTAGGTTTACGAACAATAAATTTGTATCCTAAATCAGCAGCACCTTGAACAAGAGCACCTTCATCTGGGGATGCTGCTTGATATTTAATTGATCCATCACTTTGAAATTCAGGAATAACAGTATGACATGTGGCCAATAACGTTAAAAAATAATTGATAACATTTGAATCTTCATAAGTTTTACTATGCAATCTTGAATTTAATTCATCGAAACTTCTATATCCAATTTCAATACCATCTTCCATTGTAGCAGCTTTATCCTCTGGAATTTTTTCAATGTAACAACTTCCAGCGATTGAGCATGACTTGAATTCCATGATGTTTCTTGTCAACGTACCGGTTTTATCACTAAAGACATATTCAATTTGACCTAATTCTTCAACAAGAGAAGAAGTACGAACAACAGTTGGTGTATCGGTAGTTTCATAATATAGATCCAAATCTGAACTTATCATGTAGGCTTGATAGTACTTAATTAATTCTACAGTGACGAACATAGAGATAGGGACCAAATTCGAATACAGAATCCAATAAGTTAAAATATCTTTGAAAAACAAACCCACCCTACTAGTACCTTCCAGATATAAATAAGATAGTTCATTACCCTTGCTAGCTAGCATTATAACATTACCAAATGATGATATTAAAGCTAAACCAATTAAAAGACCAAACAATGCCAAAATTTGTAAATTTATCACTCTTTCCACGGCTGTTCTTTTGATTGGTGTTGCAGTTGCATTACGCATTAACTTGGTTTCATGACCAGTAAATATAACAATACCAAATATCCAAGCAGTATTTCTTAAAGTGGCACCTCTTAATATCATTTGTTCTGGAGACAGTGGAATCTCTTGGCCATTAAGAGTCATAGTACCTTCATAAGTATATAAACTAGAATTTGGTTGTTCTGAAAGAACTTTTCCTCTTAATTGACTTAGCTGACTTGATTTAATATATTTTGATGTTTCTATTCTTGATTGTTTAATTTTTAAGTTTGTTTCACCATCAAGATTAGCAGTTTCGATGTAACACAAACCTTCTGGTTCTGAAGAAGATAACACAATCAAATCAGCAGGAACTGCCTCCTCTGATTTCACTTTAACTATATCACCAACTTGAATATCAACCCATCTCTTAATAACAAAATCAGCTTCAATTTCTGAAAACACCTCTACTCTAGAATAATTCAATTCTTTATCCGAGTTAGCTCTCTTGATATCTTCAACAGATTCTTTAATGGCTGAAACTATCAAAACAACCACCAGTGTACCTATTGTTGTATATCTGTTTGTTGGACTAACATTCGGTACCTGCTGAATAATGGAAGTGAATAAAAAGAATAAATTTGCATATTTTGAAAATTCTTGGAATAAAAATTTTGGTAAGAACGTACCTGCATTATATTTTGTAGTAGAAATATGGTTATTACGATAACCCAATGAATTATTGGCAGTTTTATCATTAAGATGGATTAATCTAGGTTCATCGGGATTATTTAAGTTGCTACCCCCTTTCCTTAATATGTAACGATTGAAAAGCATTTTCATATCAAATTGGTTTCTAGACTTATCATAAACATCTCCTAAATCTTCATCATTTGAAACTTTATTATAATTTGACATTTCAAATTCACCAAATCTATTACCACGAGTTCTATCAGCATCTCTTCCAAGTCCCTTTCTAACACGATTAAAAGCTCTAGTAAAAATATTAGGAGTACGACCTACTTGATGCAATTGCGGATTGTGATTTTCTACTCCATCAAACCTATTCAACTCAAAAGAACCATCATCCTCACTATCATTGATAAATGGATTCCTTCTAACATCGCTTTCAATATTATCATCTCTTTCTAAATCAATCGTCTCTTGAAACAAAGAATTATTATTCCCATCAGCATCACGAAGCTGGAACCTATCTGAATGTGAATTGTGGGCTCCACCATTAGTATCACCTTCAATCGAATCTAAGTCGAATAGAGTCGAATCAGGCGTCCCTTGATGACGGTTATTGTCATTCATCTTGAAATATCAAAAGATCTTGACCGTTTTATCCCAAAAAAAAACCTTTCACAGATAATATGCCAAACAAGAAATTATATTCGACTGTATGTACCCTCTTTCAACCATCAGAAATAGATTTCAATGACCTTTAATTCGAAATATCTTAAAGATTTGGCTTACTTTTTATCTTACTTGTCAGATTATTTGACGATTTGAATTAAGAAGGCTTAAAAAATATTATACACACGTGATACGCTCGTGATAGTTTCCAATGTTGTAGAAATGGTATAAAAAGGAAGGACACTTCAAATTTAAAAGGATCTTCTTTAATGTTAACTTTACAGATAGCCGCCAATACAGAAATGATGAGTTATCCTTTATAAAATTTATTAATAGGATGGTATTGAGTATTTGAGAATTGATGATGAAACGTGATTTAGAGATCAATGGTTTATGTTTTCTTTTGCAGGTCCTGGATTTGGTTCTCTGTCACTGATTACAAATGACTACAGTTAGCACATATATGAGTAAATATTCCATATTACTGGTAAAGAATATCTCCTAAGGTATTGCAGTATTTTACAAAAGGTGTTGGTAAAGAGATAATTCAGGTTTTGAAGAAGTTATAATTGCTTTTTGAATTAGTTTTCTAATGCTCGTGCTATTGGGTAAATGAAGATACTGTTTTATTCATAGAAATATACATTTCTGAAGATCAATCGAGCTTTATCAATATTGTTGGATAGAAATTGAACATGTTATGAGGATTTTAGGTACGTCGACAAAAAGATGATTGGCACAATCTAGAGCTTATGTACGATGTCACGTGGCATTTGTTATTTTCTTATCGTTTCTTTTTGTTAAGACTAGTTGCAACGAAGAGATGGAGCCAAACTGGCAACGATAGTATCAGTTTAATCAAGACGAGATAAAAAAAAAAAAGAACAACAAAATAAAAATGGCTAGCAATTTTTCTACTGTCAAAATGTATTGGTCACCTGAATATTTTCGCATCAAAAGGCTGATATTTTTCTTTTTAGTTTCTGACCTTAAATTGAAATGTATCAATATACTAGGTGAAGAGTCATGAAGTTTTCATGCACGTAATGGATGTTTTATTTCCTACTAATATAAATATAAATATAGACTAGTGAGTTCTTATTTGGCTAATGTTTAGAATTGCTGTTTTCGATATTCAAGAAGATCCATCTAATTAAATACACCGATAATTATACAGCAACAAAACTAGCAAAAGTTCAATTCATTAAGATAACATTCATGTTGATATAATGTCATTTGCTAAACTACTGCCGAAAGCAAACAACAAAGGATTGGGTTCTGGCCGTAGATCAGAGAATAAGAACAATAACAAACATCCAATTCAATTAATATTAGATATCGAAACCCCACCATGTGTTTTATTTGGTAGTACTACGAGTTCGACAGGTGCACTGTTGGGTGGTCTATTGACTTTGATAGTAAACGATGATCACAAACAAAAGAGTAATGTTAAAAATAACTCGCCTCCAATTAGCAGTGATATTAAGTTGAATGGAAAATACAATGGAAGTAATAATGATAGATCATCTTCACCTACAAAGGCTGCAAAAAAGAAAGGTTCCATTGTTAATAGATTAACATTTTCAAGAAGTAATTCACCAGTACCTTCGAATACTGAAAATAAACCGCAAGATAAAACAACAACTTCGAATTATGAAAGTATAACTATAAAATCTGTTGAATTACAATTTATTCAAAATATCCATTATGAAAAACCTTTTGTACAAGGCCCTACAGCAATTCAAACATGTAAAGATTGTTCAAATAAGACTGTCGTTTTGAAAAAATGGGACATCGAGAATAAAGAAACAACAATGAATGCTGGTTCTCATGCTTTTCCATTTTCATATTTAATTCCTGGTGATACACCAGCGACGGCGTCATTGGGATCTAAGTCTAATACTACAATAAAATATGAACTTGTTGCTAATGTTAGATACATAAATGCAAATCATGATTCGAAAACTTCATTAAACTTATCAAATATTAGTCTAAGTTTACCCGTAATGTTAACTAGGAGTTTAACAAAAGGCCCTGATCGAAACTCATTGAGAGTATTTCCACCTACAAAACTCACAGCTTCAGCTGTTCTTCCAAATGTTATATATCCAAAATCCACATTCCCTCTTGAAATGAAATTTGAAGGAATATCAACTTCAACAAATAGATGGAGAATGAGAAAATTATCATGGAGAATTGAAGAAACTACTAAAATAAGAAATAACGTCTGTAAACATCATGTTACAGAAATGAAGAAGGTGGAAAAGGAAATTAAAATAAAAGAGATTGAAAGGGCAAAAAGACAAAATAACCCTATAAAAAGATATGGTGAACCAACTCCTGTAGTAACAGTTTCGATTGGTAAAAATTCAGCAACCAAAGAAATTAAGGAACAGTTCCCTCAAAGAATTGCTGCCAATGAACCTTCATCAACAGTTGTAGACAATGCTGACCAAGATGAAGAAAATGAAACTCCTGATACTTTCATACATCCTAGTGATGATGCTTTGAGACAAGAGGTTCAGATGCAAAGACAACGTGTGAAAGAAGAACAAGAGAAACAAGAGAAACAAAATGAATCATCTATCTTCACAGAAGAGGTTAGAATAATCAGTGAAAGTAACATAAAAAGTGGATGGAAAACAGATTTTGATAATGAAGGTAAAATTGAAATAGTTACTGATATAGATTGTACCGCATTAAATTCTGGTGTTTCGAATCCATTAACTCATGCCTCGACATTAAACCCATTGCATAGCAATAAAAAGAATACAACAAATGTTTCATGTACTATTCAAGCTCCTCAATTAGGTATATATGTCAGCCATATTTTAGCTGTTGAAATTGTCGTAGCAGAAGAAGGTTTACAATACGCAAATGGTACACCTCTAAGCAAAAGCAATTCTCCATTGGTTGATAAGTCCATTACTGATAGTGATCAAAGGTTAGCAGAATTATCACCAATGCTAGCGAATAGAAATTCGGGTAGACGTAAGCCAATATCTGAACCATTGTCTAAAATCAATTCGAGATCAAGTGCATTTTCTAGTGAAGAATCAAAAGCCCTATATAATAATAGAATTATAGGTGTTCCAACTGGGGCTGCAAGGGTACTTAGAATGCAATTTAGATTAAATTTAACGGAGAGATCTGGTTTAGGTATTTCATGGGATGAAGAAGTTCCACCTATTTATCAAAATATCAATTTTATATCACCACCTAGTTATGACCGTCTTACTGAAAATTCATCTGACATGGCTCCTGTATATATTGAAAATGATGGCTATCCTGCTAGAGGAGATGAAGTTGAATTGGCTAGGGAATTAGTTGTTACGCCATCAACCAATCTAGACGAGACACCGGTACAAAAATCAGAAACTCCCAAATCATTAAGTTCTAATGAACTTCAAATGCCCGAATTGGATTCTGTAATAAGCATAGAAGGAAGTGTACCTAATTTTAATAATCCATTAACGCCAAGAGTCACCAGAGATATACGACTGGCAAATGTGTCAGAATTAGTTGATACAGATCGTATTACTCAGTAATAATTTCCGTAGCTAATACAAAAAAAAGTTCTAAGATTTTCCTCTAGTTAAGATTTTAGTAAATGTACAGATAATATAATTTATAATTACCATTTAATGTTAATTAGTATTATTTATTCTCCATCTTCCTCTTTATAATATTCGAAGTTTTTATTCAGGTCGTTGTAGTGATATTTATTATAAACTTAGAATAAATTATGTAATCGTTAGTATGTGTATAAATTACTTAAATAAAATCTATTATTTTTCAGAGATGTCCCAACCTGGCAACCATGCCAAGTATGAGTAATTCTTGTTAGGACCATCCATACCGAAAGTAATTGGAGAGAAGTACCAGAAACAAGCAATTACGGCAGTGATGTATGTAGCAAAGATACCAATTCTAATCATCCTACCAGTCTTAGTTTTAGTTAATAATTGAGTTCCGGCTTCAAAAAAGTAAACTAAAACAATTAACGCAAAATATAAAGCTGGCAAATAATGATGAACATACGTAACTCTAGCCATAATTACAAATGGACAGAAATGTAAACCCCAACCAAACATTGGATAAACACCTGCCATCAAGAATAAATTGACTTTATCGGAGTTTTGATAATCATTATATTGTCTTTGCCATCTTAATACTAAGATAATTACCAAAACCATAAATCCTAGTACAGCTGCAGTGGAAGCCCAAGTCGAGGCTGGTGTACCCATTAGATAGTATTTAACATTATCATCGTGCCAACCGTTTAATCTTAAACCAGTGTTTAATGTAGGCCATTGCCAAGCAGAGGAGGCCAATCTATCTAATTTGTCTGGATCTGTGACCAAGGCATTATTGGTAGACATCATAGCTAGATTCAAATAAACAAAGTCCTTCAAAAATCCATTACCTGGAAATTTGTAATCTTCACCAATAGTTGGTAATTTTTCATTTACGTGAAGCTCAATATTCCACCAAGTTCTCTTGTCACGCTTGAAAGGATTCTTCAAACAAATAACTTCACTTTGAGAAAAACCCCATTCTGGTAGTCTGTTACTGGATTGGGCCAAATAACAACCCAAAACGGCGTGCTTCAAACGGAATGATGTGGTCAAAGGATGAAGCTTTGATTTGTCTTCGCTACCTTTTTGGTCGACGACTTCAACAATCCAATTATCTTTGTTGTCACCGGTATTGTGGTCACCATATCCAGAAACTTCCCATTGAGTTGAAGAAACTGGAGCGGCAACCTGGTGAGAATGTAAATTCTTATTGGTATTCTTGTGGACAAGTCTATAAGTTTCGCCATCTAAAATGTATTCAATATCAGTTTCGTTTGCATTGTACAATGGCAATTGTCTAATCCTATGGAAAATCCAATCGTTGTTAGCGTCTTGGTGGCCATAACCAGTGACTTGTTGTTGCTTAGAGCCTGCAGGATAACCTTGGACGTGAGAATGTAATAAAGCACCTCCCAAAGCTTGATTTCTGATGGAAACAGTGGATGAACCTAAAGCAACATCACGAGGACCTTGACCTAATGTATTACCAATTAAATTGGCTTGAAATAATGAAGGCATAACAGCATCATTTTTACCAGAATGGGTTAATAAAGAGAAATGGATCTTAAAACAGATCATGAAGACAGCAATTGGTACCATAATCAAACAGATAATTCTTGCTAACCAATGGCCTGAGTAAGTTTTCCATGACATCTTTTTATCACCCAAGAAGATCCATAGATCTACAACAGTGTAAATACCGACTAAAGTGATAATGAATAGACCGACCATCTTGACAGAAATTGTACAACCCAAACTTAAACCTGTAAAAAACATCCAGCTCCACCATCCGCAACTGAAAGGTTTATTCCTTTGATTATGGAACTTGATGAAACAAAAGAAAGAAGCAACAGTGAAAAACAGCAACATCGAATCTAATAAGATCATTCTACCCAAGGTAGAATAAGAATTTTCAAAAAGAACCAAAACAGTGAATAACCATACGGAAGGCAAAGATAGTTTCAAAGCCTTGGCAGTGTAGTAAGCCAATGGAACACACAATGCAGAGAAAGTAGCATTGAATAGTCTCATTTTAACGAAATCAATATAATCAGGATATTCGTGGCCAGATGGAAAATCCCAAGAACCATTGTAGCCAGCGATATAACCAGAAAGACCAACCAACATCTTACCCAAAGGTGGATGAACATCATGATAAAACTCGTGTCTCAAATAGAAAGAACCAAACTTACCAAAATGAGCTTCATCCCAAACAACATGATTGTTAGCACCAATTTTATACATTCTAGTAAAGAATGCAACGGCTGTAAATATAATTGGCATCAAAATAGCCTCCAAACGATATAAAGGACCCTTGCACGCGGAATCCTCATCAGCATTGGCAGATTTAGCCTTAGACAAATCCTCTTTCTCGTTAATCAATTCATTGATAGAATCATTTTCGTTCTTTCTCTTAGTAACCTCTTGCAACGATTCTTTCTCGCTGTTCTGAAACCCAGTAGTAACAGCCATTATCTTCAGAGAGTATCTATCCCAACCGACTACGACTATCTTAAATCACAATACTACTCAATTGGACCATCAATTGATAATATATTTCGAAAAATATTGTTACCAATACCTGATACTTCTTATATAGACCTGGTCTCAAACTTAAGTACCTGTAACAAGTTGCCAAATTTTTTAAATTTGACGTGTTCAACTTAAATCAATATCGTAGCACATGATATTGATTTGTATCACGTGACAGGTGATGGTAACCATATAACATAATGGAGAGTAGTAGTCGTCAGCAGCAGGTATGATAAGATCTTTTAGTTAACTGGTACCTCTAATTGAAGTCATTGGCCAAGGCATATCTGACATATTGGTATTGAAGTTGATTAATCACATTTATAGTGGATCGTACTCGCATTTTCAAACAATAGAATTGTTTGAAAGGAATTGACAGGAGGATGCGATGGTTCACACGGTTTGTTTCATTTTACTAATTATGAAAACGAAAACATAACTTAACAGACTTCCAGCGGCTAGCCCTACAGAGACAAACACGTTGGAAAACCCACCTGCTGCTTCTCTTTCGACATCTGAATCTAATGCTCCAGGAATCTTCATAAAACTCATAGAGATTACTTGTCCACTCGTTAGACCAAATATGAATTGTAACATGATGTATGATATATCTTGAAGTATTGGAGATCTCTTGGGGATTCTCAGAAATAGGAAAAACAATGGCAACAACGCTATTCTTGACAATGAATATACAAACGTCTTGTATGCTGTAAAGCTGTCATTACGGAAGAATGGCAATTCTGCTATAAATCTTCCACATAGATCACCAACATTCCAGACTGTGAATATTAATGGAATATACTGTTTGTCACTCAATGGAATACCTCTTGCTACAATAGTGGATGCAAATACTGCAAAGACCATAGTGACTGAAAATGTAACAAATATCGAAAGAACTAGATATTTCAACTTTGAATATAGTAGTTCTGTTGGAACAAAAATCTTATTATCAGAAAGGGACTCTGATTCCGTAAAGCTAGTAGGGGTATCTTTCAAAACTCTATCGCTGTTATTGGATCTAAACAGGTATATGCAAATTAGTGATACCAACGAAGTAGACAAAAAATATAAAATTATACCAATCAAAGATCCCTTATTATCTGGTTTATCTGAAAATGTGATTAGGAACAATACTATAGATGGCAACACACCAGCAATTGCTTGTCCCAATACAACTGCCTGACTGTATTCTGAGCCATATACATTGGCAATTGCAAGTATACCATTCTGAGTTAGGGCAGTACCAATTGCACTAATGACAACAAGAAACATAATCCAAATAAAGTTTAAACTTTGTGGAAACAAAGAATGAACAAATGTAACTGCAACTAACAAACTGAATACTAATATCTCTAATATCAACCCTCTAACAACACGTTGAGAATAAGCCATTTGTCTTTTGGATAACCATAAATTAAACAGTAGAGATGTGACTGTTGAAACAGACATCATAGAACTTGTAAAAATATTAGCCCATATAGAAGTACCATGGAATATATCATTTTGGAAGTATTCAGATGCACTTAAGATACAATTCCAAGGCCATAATAGCCCCATGCCAATACATAGAAAGGTGAAATAATTAGGTTCACAAACCTTAAAAAAAAAAGTAGTACCTTCTAAATCAGGAATTTCATCATTTGCAGTACTATTTCTCGTAGATGACACCAATGTGTCCTCATCCATCTTTACTGAATATTTTCCTATTGGCCTATAGTCTACCTTTTATCGATATAATTCAGTCCAACATATTTAAGCTTTATTATTAGATGATCTTTATAGAAGTTAAAATTTCAATTAAGGCGGTGTTAAATAATTTAAGAGTCAGATATGGAAAAGCATTGTTATAGAAGAGGTGGATATGAAATGGTTTAATTGTTTTAAGATATTGATTAAAATATATAACATGAAAATAAAAAGGTACGTAAAATGTTGTAGTATCTTATATGCTAAGAGATAAGATACAAAAATGATACTATAAGAGCCCCCCAAAAGTAAAAACTGAAATAAAGTTCATATACTGCCAAATATAAAATACAAATTCGTTAAAATTTAAATTTAGATTTTTCTACTGCCACCCCCACCTTTAGTGAACTCGTATCTTGCTAATAATGGGATATGATCACTTGGAAATTTATCGTTAGGGAAACCAATGAATTTAGAAACATAATCTTTGTCTACTGGACCTAGTACTCCACGGACACGTAAAGCATGGGTGGAATACCAAATATAATCGATGACATCAGTGAATGATGGGGTGAAATTAGTGAATGGTAGCTCACCGATGCAATCATAACTTGATCGTAGGGCTAAATTATGCGCAAAATTCTTTTGAGACATATAACCATAGAATCTATTTTCAATGTCTTTATGAACTTGAACATGACCGGTACTTAACAATTCGTAAACTGCAGAATCCAGATGAGAGTTCAAATCACCACAAATGATTACAGGACATTTCCTTATTTCTTGTTTAGAACTTGCATTATTATTATCCTTTAATAATTCTTCTAAATGATCTAATAATATACCAACTTGGAAAGTTTTAACATCATTAAACTGAGGATCCCAATGCAAATGTGTGGTTACTACCCAAACCGATTCTCCACTCTTAATGTGTTCCAATTTCATATATAAAGCAACGTTATCTTTATTCATTGCACGATTCAAATAATCTTCTGTACGTTGGAACTTCTTGTGCTTCATCCAAACACCACTGAAGTCTACCGAATCTTTATAGAGTACATTGAATTCGGATTCTTTATAGAATATACAACAACCATCGACTTTTTTAGAATCCTTTGTTTGCATTGTCTTAGCTCTTGTTTTAGCATAGAAAGTACCAGCATACCCGTTTTTCTGTAGTAGTGGTAACCAAAATTCTTCATATGATTTGGATTCGACTTCTTGTAAACAAATCACATCACTCTTAAATGACAAAATTTGATCCTTTAATTTTTCACGTCTATAATCCCAACTCAAGGCCCAAGAAGGAGTGTAACGATACATTTTTGGAGTTGCATAATGTTGACATAAAGTATTATAGGACAATACAGTGAATGATTTCTTTTGTAGTTCTGGATTTAAATGTTCGTTTGAAACTTCTACATTTTCATAACCATCTTGTATATCACCATCTGTATTAATCTCTATAAATTGTCTATCCTTTTCTAATGGGATTTCGGGTCTATTATCTCTTAAGTAGAAAATCAAGCCTGTTACTGATTTTTCTGCCAAAATTTTCAATAATTTTTTATCTAATGGATTACCTTCAATACCTAAAAATTGTAAGTTCGATAAATTTCCAAATTCCCAAGGTAAAGTTTTGATTAAGTTATCGAATAGATATAAATATTTCAATTGATAACAAAACCCTAATTCTGTTGGCAATTCCGTTAATTTATTATGAGAAAGATCTAGTACCCTGATATTATTCAATTTTTTAATTTCCTTTGGTAAAGAAGTTAAATTGTTACCATTTAAGTATAATCTGGTTAAGAATTTGTAATCGAAGATTCTATTGTTGACATTAAATATTTTCAGATTCGACAGATCAATGGCATGCCATAATTGGTCGTTGAATTTAACTTCGTCAGGAGTAATAATTCTATTTTGTTGTTCGACTTCGTCATCCTCGTCTATATTATACTGGGATAGTTTTTTATGTTGTAGTAATAGAGATGTGGTTGTTGGAGTAGATGATAATTGATTTAATTCTGTCTTTGGAGTGGTTGGAGTAGAAATGGTGCTATTTGTTGAATTTGTATTATTTTGTTGGCCCTGTTGTTGAGAAGAGGAGTTTTTAATATCGTTTGAAAGGTCATTACTATTTGGAGTGTCGGAAGCCATTTCCATTAACAATTGTTTTGTTTTATCTACTAACGACATGGATGCTTCGTTTAATTGAGGATTACCATTTCCATTATTATTATTAGAGTTCATACCGTTACCGTTGTTATTTGCTACGTGGTTACCGCCATTTTGAGAAGGTTGTTTTTGAGTAACCAAATATTTTTTCATTGCATTTTGTCTTGCATATACGTTTGGTTGGCCCAAAGTCTGCATTGAGATAGAGATTAATTGTAATTGCAATTTCCAAATTGGGTTACTCAACAAGGAAGGGTCCTCTAAATGTGGGTGAAACAACGGGTTATTAATATTTTCATCTGGAGGCAGGCTTTGTACGTTTGTATTGTTATTGTTGTTGTTGTTATTGTTGTTGTTATTATTGTTGTTGTTGTTGCTGTTATTTAGTTGTTGCAACAACTGAATAGAGTAGTCGTTGCCACCAGCGCTCATCAAACCTGGAGGGGTATGTAACTGAGCGCCCATGGCATTTGGAGTGACAGTCCTCTGTGGTCCAGCAGGTTGGCTAGATAATGAAGGGTACCCTAAAACCGAAGGATTATTCATATATGGCTAGAAATAAATGTACAATAAAGATTTTCGATCCAAAATGGGGGGAAAACAAAATGTGAAAAAAAAAATTAGGGAAGAGAAAAGAAGATAAAAAATGAAGAATTTATAATTTCAAAAATCTTTCCACAGCTAGCATTCAATACCTATGGGTCCTTTATTTTATTAATATTAATATTATTATTACTAATCTGTCAAAATACGAAATAAAAGTGACGTCTCTGGATTAGAAATTCAATTCAAATTCTCACGGTGTTTGTTCTGGAATCGACGAAACCCAGGAATTTGAAATGAGAAAATGTACTTGAACTGAAAATTCCACAAACGCTAGAATCTCGATCTAACAAAGGGGCAGGGTGGGGATGGAATGAAAAGTATTAGGTTTTTACTAAACCAGTGGATTCGATTCAATTCGATATATGCTAACTATTGATCACTGGGAATAAACCTGCTAATCAAAAAACAAAATAACACGATTGATAGAGGCGTTGTTGTTGCTAGCAGCAATAGAAAGATGAATAATCTACCACAAAGAAGCTAAAACTTGTACTTGTACTTGTACTTGTATTTGAACCTGTGCAATTAGAAAACCAAAATGTACACACACACTCTTGTTTTGTTTTATTTAATTTAATTTAATTTAATTTAATTTAAATTTTTTTTGGGCCTTGGAGCAGCAGAGAGATTTCAAATATACGAAACCGATGTTTTTTCCGTTGAGTTAAGGATTCCAAACCTAAATTGAAATAAAATGAAATAAAAAAAAAGAAAATAAAGTATTGTTACCGCAGTGGGGTTTAGGTCTTGTGTATGTAGCACCGAGGGAATATTACAGCGTCTGTCTGTTATTGTGACAATGGTGTCAGCGCTTATGAGTTCTTTTTTAGTTAGTTGTTCACTTTAGATTACAAAACTGTTTTGACCTTTTTAACAACAACAACAACAATAACAAAACTGTTTCTTGCATGTTCAAAAAGTTCAATTTGTATTTTTTTTTGTGTTTTTGTGTTTTTGTGTTTTCAAGTTTTTAGTTTTTTTTGAAATTTCTTTTTTTCGAAGGTTTTTGTGGTTGTGCCTTTTCCCACAGAGAGAGACACACGCCCAGCAGAAAAAACTTTCGGTGACTGGCGGGCGACGGAGGTGAGGGCGAGGGCGAAGAGATGGGAAAATGAAAGAAAAAGCGCCGTCTGGAGTGATTGGTGTCTGTGTCTGTGTCTGTGTCTGTGTCTGTCTACCAACCATGCATACTATACCTACTATACTCATTAGAGTGGTTATACACCATACCCACTCCTTCTTTCTATCTATTTATTAAAGACCAATTGCTATCGCAGTCTGTCGTATCTCTTGAACTCTTCTTTTCCCCTTCCCTTTCCCTTTTCTAGGTCTCACGTGCAGGAAAGGACGGGTAATCGTCAACTAAACTATAAAAGTGACACACATAAACAACATCTTTGGGTCCTCCCCCCATGGCGGCCCCACTGGCTCAACCAACTGTCTCTTCATTTTCATGTTCTACAATCCACGTCGTAGCATACCCTCCATATAAATCAGTCTCACCCCGAGGTTCATACAACTTACTGAATTCACTCGTATTACCACCATTCAACTCACCACAATTACCATGCTCCCCCCATCCCCAACTAATCACTTTCCCATCTTCTAACATACCAACTCCATGTTCACTTCCAGTACTGAACCTCTTCAGCTCTGTACTCCCAGATCTCGACAACTGTTTGTACTTGTCATTGCCAAATGAAATCATACGTCCATTTTGAATCAGATGGATTGATGTCCACATACTACCAATACACTCTACTCTTTCGCCCAACCATCTCTCTTTGACAAACCCAGAAGGCAACTTACCTCTCATATCTATGATTTCTCTCTTGCTGTCCACCACTACAATGAAATCTTTCCCCATCGAAACTTCAGCTACTGTGCTATCCTGAGCCTGAGCATTCGTATTGTCAAATTCTAGAAGCAATCTAGGCGACGACACTTTCCTTGATTTAGGTTCTAATAACTGTTCCTTGGTATTGGCCCCCCATCCATAGACTTTGCACTCTTCATCGTTGTATAGCATTAGAACACAGTTGTTCAGAGACCCAAACAGTTTACCCTGGTATCCTTGAGGAATCTGATAAACCAACGACAATTGCTGGCTACTACGTATATCCGGGCCCAGCCCTAATTCTCCTTTTAAACCTTCACCACAACTGTAAACACCATTGAATGAATCTATGATAACGGTGAATTCCCAGCCACATACAATATCTTTAACTATCATTCCATTCTTGTCAAACACTTTTTGCCAACTCTTTACAAGGCTATCACCTCCAAAACCAAGCTGACCCTTGCTATTATCACCGCATCCTAAAACACTACCATCGTCAAGCAACACAACACTATGATTACCACCACAACTTACCTTGGTAACTTTACTCTCATGGCAATCTAAACTCAATTCAGGTTCATTAATATCTTCAAAATGATCTAGGCCTAAGTTGACCCATACCATTGGAACCTAAAACAAATACGCGAGAAACCATCTTAAACATATATCTGAAACAATAATCACTCCCTTCACTTTCGATTGTTTGTCTTATTGTTGTATCTGTAATCACCATCATCATCATCATCATCAGGGCTCTTTTAACTTAACCTTATCTCATCTCATCTCATCTCATCGCGATATCTTTCTTCATAGCACTAGTTGAATATTTTGATGTTGAAAAATTATATGAGAATAATAAATAACAGTACTGGATTAAAGCTTCTGATTAAAGGTTATTAAAACGTTCAAACATTCTACAGAGCTGTCGATAGTATCTGTTACTACTAATTAAGGTATAGGTTGTGTTTGTCTGTGTTTTTTCCATTTTTTGGTACTGGTTCTCTGTTCAGGTTGAGGTTAATATTTTAATATATATATATTGATTCGATTGCAGAATAGTTGGAAAAGATTTAAGAAACAAGAACAGAAAAACTATATTTCAAGGTATGATGAAAGATGAAGAGGTTCAGATACCTGAATCTTCTTCTCCTGCTGGACACCAGATGTTGAGTTCTTCTCCGTTGAAACAAGGACAAGAGTCCGGTAGTAATGGTAATAGTAGTGGTAATACAACTACTTCTTCCTTAAGGGAACGTTTTACTTTTAAACAGGTTGATGTTTCGAAATTGAGTTCAAGTAATGTTAATTCCACAGAAGATGATTTGGCGATTCTTTCAGAAGAATTCAACGATTTTTCTCCCACTCTGGTTCAAGCTGTCTTCAAGTCAAATTCTTTTAATATCGAATTATCTAGACAAAGATTGAATAAGATTAGAACTCAGAGGACTAGTTGGTCTTGGACAAGTGGTAAGAAACCAGAAACTACTAAAGATAGATTGAATTCTATTTCGAGTTCATCCAATGCAAAATCGATTTCTGCTGCTGCTACTTCAAAGATCACTTTGGACAAGCAAAAGAGTTCGATCTTTGATAGATACTCTAGTGTTATGAACCATTCGTCTAAACGCAATATGATGACAGATATTGTCGTAGATGAGGAATCGTTAAGTAAACTAATTAAAAGTGATTCTGCCAAGAGTGGTAAGCGAAGAAGATTGGTAAGAGGTGATCATTTAGAAGAGGTCAAAAAGTCTAAAACAACTCAATTAGATGTAGCAAAAGATAAGCTATTTAAAAAGAAGAAGGAAACGCTGATGGACGATGAAGAAGAAGGGATGTAAATGAAATGTCGGATGATGAGATATGAACGGTGAAGAATATGAAGAACGTACTCCAAAATTAACATGGAGGATCAAATTTAACTTTTTACCAAAGTGCAAAACCCATTTATATGCTGGATTGGCAAAAATTTCATGGAAAAGGAAAAATATTCTTTCAGAAAACGTTTAAAAATTAAGGATTTCCTTAAGGGATTTCACCTGAACTAAAAGGAAAAAGGCTTCAAAACTCAAAGAAGTCTCGGTGATACTCCAAAGGAAAGCGAGATTATGATAAATACTTCTCCACCGGTTAGAGTTCCAACCTTATAAAGGGCCCCATGGTTCCCTTACCACAAGAAAAGGGGCGGGTCAAGTCGAATAGGGATAACGGGCCTAAACAGCACAAAATGGTGAAATCAGGGGAAAACCCTGGCCCCGCGCTTAAAAGCCAAGTGGGAGGGGGGGACAGCCTTTAGTGGTGAAAGATAGGAGCAATAAGACGACGTGTATGAAAGGAGGAGG